CCTTTACTACGACCGTATTTGATCATCTTCATCAATCCCCTGACTCCATTGTTGTCCGGGAACCGCTCCAGATAGCAACTGGGTGCGACGCCATCGACATGAAAATTCTCTGGCATTTTTTGGGTCATACATGTACGTCCTTCTCCATCGAGGGCGGCGACTCCAGGCCCATGGAGGACCTCATGCGAAAGACTGTCATGGATCACGCATTCAGTGTCAAATTTTTGTACAATTGCGTCATGGCCTTATCATGTCTGCATGCTTGTGAAACGACTGGCGATGACATGGGTGATCCCTATCGTCTTATACGCTACCAGGACGGTGTGTTTGAACCGTTTTCTACGGCCATCAGGACCGGCGATCCAAAAACGTACGGCGCGCTTCTAGCCAATTCTCTTCTCTTGACAGCCTTGTCGTCTCAGAATTTTCGCTTGCCCCAGGCTCCTGACCTCTACATCATCCAGTGGATGACCATCTGGCGTGGCATTGGAACGATTTTCCAGACAATTGATAGAGTTTCTTTAAGGAACACTGGGTTAGAGCAAATGTTCTATCGGCCAGCTATGGATCTTACCGCGGCTGCCGCTTACATACCTAAAAATCTCCATGTCTTGGTCTCGTCAATTCCAGCCAATGATCCCGATGAGGCCAACAGGAAAACTTATACTCGAGTGCTTAGATATCTAGCAACACTCTACCAAAACATGCATCAAGGCGGTTTCGGAGCTGTGATGAAGCTTCGCATCATCACTTGGTTTACGTATCTACCTCATGACTTTGTTCGGCTGGTACTCGACAAGAATTGCCGTGCTCTGGTTATTATAGCACACTACGCCATATTCCTCAAACTAACTATGGGAGTTTGGTGGTTGGTAGGCATAGGTGCTCGATCTCTCCAAGATATCTGTGCATTCCTCGGGCCAGCGTGGTACAACGAGCTCAAGATTCCACTCGCAGCAAGAGATATCGAGGATCCAATTGAGTTGGCAAGGCTAGTTCTGGACGATCCCACGTGGGAGCCACGTAGATCGCCGACTGATAAATGGGACGCACAGGAAGAACAAGAGACGAGGCAACTCGGCCTAGTAGACGACCAAGGTAGGCCTGTCTACTACGAATCCGAAGCAAGGGCTGTCGTTCTGGCGAATCCAAGCCATCCAGGCGATGAACCAGTGTGGAACGCTGGTGAATAACGGCTGAGACGCCAGGCTCAGAGTTGGCCAATACTTTGAGATGTTTGGTTCGAGGTCTACGCAGAAGTGTATACGGTGGGAGGCAAAAAGTATTTAACCAGATCAAGTACCTGGCTATCGCGCTCTGTAACATAACATATTATGGTAAATTAATGTATACTTCTTATTGGGTATATATATTCTGCCACAGACTGCAGTACCTCGCACAAAAGTAGGCTCTTGAAGATCGGTTCCACCCAAGTTCAATGATCACAGGATGACGGCAGCTCTGGCGCGTGATAGATGCGAATTGCCCTCTTCGGTCGAGGGATGACGGCTCATTGGACGACATAACATGTGTGTGTCACAACTATCATGGCCGTCCGGTGGCCCGACCGTCTCTGGCGATATGAAGCAGAACCCTCAAACGTCCCGGTATCACGCAACGGACGGCACCATCGCAATTTTCAAAGAGCAACGAGCTACATGCATGACAGGGATGTAAGACACACGGAACAGATAGTAATTAAAGTAAAGAGGAAGTTTTATCATTGGTACACAGCCCACAAAAGAGACTAAATAGATGGAGCTTAGAAGAAACCTCCCCAGCCCCCGGTTCCTCTGGTCTATACACAGGCTCCTTCTCCACACCTTCAGATATTATGTAGCTAAGGCGCCTAGTTCTTCTCCAAATCCGCAAGAATCTTCGCTCCCTTCTCCTTAGCGGAGGCAAGGTCACCAACCATGTAGAAGGCACCCTCGGGAAGGCTGTCACCCTCACCGTTCAGGATAGCCTTGAATGAGGCAATGGTCTCCTTCAGGTCTACCAGCTTGCCCTCGATACCAGTGAACACCTGAGCGACAGTGAAAGGCTGGCTAAGGAAACGCTGAATCTTACGGGCACGCTCGACAGTGAGCTTATCAGCCTCGGACAATTCATCCATACCCAGAATAGCAATGATATCCTGCAAGGACTTGTACTCCTGGAGAATCTGCTGGACACGGGTAGCCGTGTTGTAGTGCTCCTCACCGACAATACGGGGATCAAGCATACGGGAGGTAGAGTCGAGAGGGTCGACAGCGGGGTAGATACCCAACTCAGAGATACCACGAGACAAGACAGTAGTGGCGTCCAAGTGAGCGAAGGTCGTGGCAGGGGCAGGATCGGTCAAATCGTCAGCGGGGACGTAGACAGCCTGGACGGAAGTAATGGAACCCTTCTTGGTGGTGGTAATACGCTCCTGCATACCACCCATATCGACGGCAAGAGTAGGCTGGTAACCGACGGCGGAGGGAATACGACCCAGCAAGGCGGACACCTCAGAGCCGGCCTGAGTGAATCGGAAAATGTTGTCAATGAAGAGCAGCACATCCTGGCCTTCCTGGTCACGGAAGTACTCAGCAATGGTCAAACCAGTAAGGGCAACACGAGCACGAGCACCAGGGGGTTCGTTCATCTGACCGAACACCAGGGCGACCTTGGACTCGCCATCAAGCTGAATGACGGAAGTCTCCTGCATTTCATGGTACAGATCATTACCCTCACGAGTACGCTCACCAACACCAGTGAAGACAGAGTAACCACCGTGAGCCTTGGCGATGTTGTTGATAAGCTCCTGAATGAACACAGTCTTGCCGACACCAGCACCACCGAAGAGACCAATCTTTCCACCACGAGCGTAGGGGGCGAGCAGATCGACGACCTTAATACCAGTGACCAAAATCTCAGCAGAGGTAGACTGATCAGTGAACTCCGGGGGCTCGGAGTGGATGGGCAAGAACTTGTCGGTCTTGATGGGACCGCGCTCGTCAATGGGGTCACCAGTGACGTTGATGATACGACCCAGGGTAGCAGGGCCGACAGGAATGGTGATGGGAGCACCAGTGTCGGTGGCCTTGGCGCCTCGGACGAGACCTTCAGTACCTGTTTCGTAGTTTAGAGCCTATAGGGACTTCATCCCGGGGTTTCATGGGGAAAATGAATCTTACCGTCCATGGCAATGCATCGCACGACGTTCTCACCCAGGTGTTGCTAAAAACATTGTTGTCAGCCATGATGTTGGTACCGCCTTGATTTTATTCTGATTAGGAGCCACATACGGAAACTTCTAGGACTAGCTTCTGGCCATTGTTGTCGGTCTCGAGGGAATTCAGGATAGCAGGCAGCTTGGCAGTGTCGAACTTGACTATTGGCAGGTCAGTTACAAGATTTCCCGTTCGGCAATAACCTTCAGGTGGCTGTGGGGAAAGTTTGAGACCAACCGTCGACGACAGCACCGATAACCTAAATATTGTTGTTAGCCCAAAAAGGCCTCCCTGGCCGGGAATTGCGGAACTCTGCCTACCTGGTGAATCTTGCCGACACCAACACTGGCAGAACTGGCGAATCTGCTGTTCAGGGGGAATCGGAGAGCGGCAGGCTTGAGGGCACGTCGCGAGGCGGCGGCCGAGAAGGTCGGGCGAGACGCCCTAGCGAAGGAGGAAATGCCACTATAGAAAACATCCACGGGTCAGCTCAATCGCCTCAATCGGCCTCAATTGGCGTAAGAGGCGCACAAAAAGACCTAAAAGATACATCCACACGTCAAGACTCACCTCTTGAACATCTTGCCAGATGAAAAAGAGCGATCAGATATGGGAGTGGAGAGAGGTTGGTTGGAACTGGGGGAGAATTTGCAGAATGAGCAGTTTTACTCGGAAGCGGACGACTTCATCGGTTAGAGCTTTCTCTCCAGTCACGTGATTCACTAGCCTAAAATTGTCCTGCAACATGGGGCTTTACAGTGCAGGCCTCGGGTTTTGAAGGAACGCCGTCCCTTTGGAGGTGGTACCAGACGGGGCTGAAATTTCAATGGCCAGTTGGCTTCTACGTGGCTCTGATACTAAGGCAAAAGCAAACAATATATTCCATTGTACTCCGTCTCTTGTGCGAGTTCTCCGAATATTCATAGGGCAATTGCAAGGCGTCATCGTTGAACTTGCACACATTATTTCAAGTTGAGAGCAAGCCAGGTAATACAGCCACAGGTGCATACCTTCCTAGGTACCTAGGTACTTAAGTAGGTATACAACCTAGGCGTATGGCCTGGTCTCGGAGAAGTGATGTCCAGCGTCAAGTCAATCATAGAGATTCCGTACCTGCACAGTGTGAACCGACCCTTGTCGCCCCAGTCAACCGAGCGGGGGCCTGGACCATCATTGTTGGTACCTGAGGCTCCTGAATCCCCTTTCTGCTGCTGGCCAAACAGATTCAAGGGCGGCGGCTCTGTGTCATGTCGCGGCTCCCAGCTCATCCCGACCCTTATGTTCTCTTGGCTTGCTCCGTCATTAAGTAGTCACACCAGTACTTGTATGCGGGCCGGCAATAGCAGCACGACGAACACTACAGCAAGGCCCCTTTTTGTCACATTCCTGGTCGTGGACGGAAACTTCTAATAGAATGTACATTGTACAAACGTTGTCTGTTAATATGAAGCGAATGCATGAGAACACCTGTTACTAATAGCCAAACAGGTCTGATACCGTGCTGCCGTTTTCATTAAGGCTGTTATATTTGTGTCAAGAATGCTTCTGTAAACTTCGTGAGGTCAGGCGATTTTCCCCAACTGCTCACTGCTCCTTGTACGCTGGTAGTCGATCAATATCGAAGCAATGTACTGGCCCTTCGCTGTTGTGCTTGCATTCCAGGTAACCAGCTCGGCGGATATCCAATCACGATATACTACGTAAGTATGTAAGGAGGAGACATCCGATCCATCCGCTGCGCAACGTTTATTCCAACGCCAGCACCTGGTATAACAGGTTAAAACTAGTCCACAGAACAATAGTTCACCAAAAGACGATGCGTAGGCTTACCATGGCTGTGCGACACGGAATGTACACTTGGGTCCAATTCTTCCGCCCATTCCATTCCATGGGGGTTGTAAAGAAGCGAGTGCTTTCATCCACCCGATTGAACCCGCCCGCGTCCTTGGAATCGGTGTTGAGAATAATACGATAAGTTCCAGCAACTTCAATGCCGATGCGATAATCAGCGAAGCTTTGGGAAGGGTGAAAGTTAAACACGAACACTAAGCCCGCTCGCTCGAAGACAATGACCTTGTCGACTTCATGCTTGAGTGAGACATAAGCTTGAGGTGAATGAAGCCATCCGTATTTGGCTTCACACTGATTCATTGATCGATCAAAGTTGTTGAGATACTGATACCGTAGCAGATGATCTTCTGTCAGGTTAAGCTGGCGACGCGCATACCAAAACGAATTGTTGTTCCCTTCCCTAGGGAAGTCAAGCCACTCGGGATGGCCAAACTCGTTACCTTCAAAATTCAAATACCCTTCGCCTCCCAAGCTATGAGTGAGCAGTCGAATCATCTTGTGAAGCGACATGCCTCTTTCAATCACGGGCGTCAATGGTGACAGGACCGACATGTTCGTGTACATTTCAGCGTCGCAGAGATGCATCATAAGTGTCTTGTCACCCACCAGCCTGTTTGAGTGTGAGTGAATGCGCCTGACTAGACGCTGACGGGGTATTAACGTACGCTTGATCGTGACTCTCGCAGTAGGCAATCGTCTTCTCGCCATGACGTCGATTAACAAGAGTGAAGCAAATGTTGCCAATATTCCACTGCTCATCCTTCAGCTCTTTCAGAATCTTGATCCACATATCCGGGACTGCCATTGCAAGGCGATAATCGAAACCAACACCTCCCAGCGCAAGAGGCAGACAGAGCGCTGGCATTCCGGATACATCTTCTGCTATTGTGATACATTCAGGGAACAGGGAGTGCAACATTTCGTTGGCAATCATCAGATATACCACAGCCTCTTCATCGACTTCAGAACCAAAGTATTCATGATAGCCGCCGGAAAAGCCCCTACGCATTATCAGTCAGCGATTCAAGTCAGTCCTCCGGGCTTTTTTTTTTCCTCCCGGGGGGGGCTCGGAAATTGCTTACGCGCCAATGCCATGATGAACGTATAGCATGCTTGTGACGCCATCAAATCTGAACCCGTCAAAATGATATTCCTCCATCCAAAAGTGCAGATTGCTGAGGAGAAACCGGAGAACTTCGTGGTGGCCATAGTTGAACAGTCGGCTGTCCCACTGATCATGGCGCCCCTTGCCACCGCCGTGGAAGTATTGATGATCTGTACCATCAAATTCGTTTATACCATCGAGAACATTTTTTGAGGCGTGGCTATGCACGACATCCAACAGTACGCTGATTCCCATGCCGTGTGCAGTATCAACGAGCTCTTTGAGATCTTCAGGTGGCCCATATCGACTGCTCGCCGCGAAAAAATTGTTAACTTGGTAACCAAACGATGCATAATACGCATGCTCCATGACCGCCATGAGTTGAATCGTATTGTATCCAAGATCTTTAATTCTGGGGAGCATATTCTGTGTGAATTCCTTGTAAGTCGCCACTCTTTGTTCAGGCGTGGAAATTCCGACATGAGCTTCATATACTCGAACACTACCAGGTTTAGAAGGCCTCTGGTGTTTGAATTCATACTTTTCGGCTTTAGGGGGGTTCCAAAATCGTGCATCATATGCCGGAGATACACTTAGATCTTGCGTCACGTACTTAATCCAGGCCGGCAGACGGTCCACCCTTTCTCCATTGGGTAGCTGCAAAGAAATCTAGTTTCATGCGTTTCCATGTTAATTTGTCTCCTCATTTTTAGTTCAATCGCCTTGCGAACCTTTATTTTTGAATTATGTGGTATGACTGGCTGGCTGTCCTTGGGTGGCAACACAATCTCGAAAACTCCAGAGTTGTTCTTCTTCATCTCATGGGAATTGACATCCCAGCTGTCTAAGCTTCGTGTAAGTATTATTGTGGATCAAGAAGAGTGATACAGCTGGTTTAGACGCACTGAAATCTCCTATGAGCGATGCTGCTACAGCATTGGGTGCCCATTCTCGATATGTAATGGTGCCATCATCACTCGCATTTAGGCCGAACTTTTCGTAGCCCTGAGTAATACATAATTAGATTCTCTTCACTGAGACATAATGGCAAATATATCAAAACAAATCCGATGTAGCTTACCCTCGAAAATTTCTCCAAGCCACCTTCAGTGGCTTTGATTCTGTTGATCCAATCCTGGGATTTACCATATCTGCGCTTCAGGGCTTCATTGAATGGCTCTAGCCAGGGGTCCAGCTTTACCACGCCTGTCATTGCGGTTAGAGGATGGCTTATGGATGCTTTGTGGGATAGGAGGCTACATACCAGTGCCATCCCGAGGTATATCGTCTAGAGTCAGACCACCAGCGCCCGCTTCATTCAGCAGCTTTTGGATCTCTGTCATGGTATCAATTGACGATATTCCTAATGAGGTTGTGGACTTGGGCCGCAACTAGTCGTAGTAATGTCTGGATGTTGGGATAGCGTGGTTTGTGGTAGGGATGGCGTCGCACTACAAGTTGTTGGGAGCGGCAAAACCAGGTGAGATGCGTCGACGTCGACGTTGGCGATGGGCTCGGGGTCCAGGCTATGCGAGCACCTGAATGCGGCAATATCTGGACTTGGGCACGGAACTTCAAGTTACTTGAAGTCAAGATGTTGGGATTCAGGAAGACGGATACGGAACATTTATCTCCACGAAGCTTGGTACAAGCTCAATTCAGGTTCAAACAGCTCTAAGAGCTAAGCTAGTGGCGAATGAGCGGCTGCGGGGTGACAGTGACGCAGGCAAGCGTGAAATTGCGCCAGGCGGGTGAAAGTGGTTGGGTCACAACGAGATTAGCCAGTTGACGCCTCCATGCACATGCTGGATGCAGCGTTGGCTCGCAGCATTTATACTGGCGTGGGGTCTTATGCCACAAAGACGGCCATACACCAGGCCCATTGTCATGACGAGTACCAGGTAACTAAAACAGCTTCTGTTCAATGGCTTGAGGATAACAGGATGCCATTGTCTGGTGCCAATTGAGCACCCGAACAGTCAACTGCGGAGTCTCCGCAGGGGACTGGGTCAATGAAGCAGTGCGGTGGCTGCCCTCCTCGCTGCATCCAATAGTTCATGCACACGCCGGTCAAATGGAAGAATGCACCAGACATTTTCAGAAGATAAAAAACCGACTGAAGTGCTAGCATATTGATTCATGCATGTGGTTAAGTTTTAGTACTGCGTACTTGGTACTTAAGTAGGAAAGTGCCTTCCCAGTACCTACCTACCTAGGTAGGTAGGTAGGTAGGTAGTTCCTTGATGGGACGGCCTTTGAGGGAACCCGTTGACACATGGACGTTGAACCTTTGTTAGAGGTCAGCCGGTGGGCTAGCTGGCGGCGCGCACAAGCCTCGAGAACCTGAGGCACCCAGCATGGGGTGGCAATCTACCAGCATTGCACGGGCCGGCATGATCGCCTGCCGGACCTAAGTAGCTGGCTCCAACTTGACGTCGTGCGTTCCATCATCATCAAGGTTGTCAGACAAAGTCCATGTTGCAACACATATCCAGCTAGCATAAGATAACGACATGGTTCGCCCAATCATAGAGGCCACCTCAAGAGGATATCCACGTTTTTGCATCTGAATCGGAACCACTGCGTCCCCTCTGTCGTCTGTAATGCTATTCCCAGTTTCCGGTCAACAATCCCCGTCAAATCGAGTATCAACCAGGCATTCAGTTCGCTCCCGCATCACTACAGCGGCCTCTCGAGCAGGCTTCCACAGCTTAGTACGAGCTGGGCAAGTGTGATATGAATAGCCATTTCACCATCAGCCATGCCTGGACAGTCAAGAAGGTTGGTTTGCGTTGTGCAGGCCCGCATAAGCTCCGGTGCCAATCTACGCTGCTCACCACGGAGTAATTATGTGCGCTGTCTTTCAAGCACGGCTCCCCGCCAGACATCTCGACGGACGCCAGACTTCAACTCCGGATTTACAGGCAGCTATGATCCCACGGCTGAGTTAGGCCGAGGCCCTATGTTCAATAAAGCCAACTTCGGAGTCCCCCAATTCTACCCCCGGGATCTGAAGAAACGAGTCGACGAGTACGTTGTAGGCCAAGAGAGAGCAAAGAGAACCATTTGCTCAACACTCTTCAACCATTATCAGAAACTTCGAAGGCGTCATCAGCACGAGCATGAGCAGAGGAACTTTCATGAAAAGTTGATGCGTCAACGCTTTGCCCGCGACCGCGAGTTGCATCAAAAGAGAAGAGACATACATCCCGTAGAAGGTTTGCAAATCCAACCAGCGCTTTTTCTTTCTGTCAGTGTACTATCGCTATCAGGAAACCCAAGATTAATAATACTTTTCTTGTAGATGAATTTCCTGGGCACAATGAGTCTGTCAGACAGTTGCACGAGACAACAGAGTTTGAGGAAGACCCGCTTGATCATTTATATGTCCCAGAAGATCCCTCAGTGCCGGAGCATGTCAAGATTGATAAAAGTAACTTGCTATTGATTGGGCCAACAGGAGTTGGCAAGACTTATATCCTAGAGTAAGTCAGCTGTCTCCTCTAACGACACTACATTGAAGCTAATCTGCAGCAGAACATTAAGCAAACAAATTCATGTACCCTTTTCGATATGCGACTGCAATTCCCTCACCCAGGCCGGCTACATTGGCCAGGATGTGGAGACTTGCATTGAGCGGCTGCTCATAGAGGCCAACTACGATATCAAAGCTACGGAATACGGAATTGTGGTGCTAGATGAGTTCGACAAGCTTGCCAGAAGAGAATCTCCGACAGGGCGTGATGTTGGTGGAGAAGGTGTCCAACAAGCCTTGCTCAAGTTGGTCGAAGGGACCAAGATTACCATTAACGTGAAGGATAACCGATCATCACGATCAACCCCGCCGATTACCACGAACTATAGCTCTGGTGGATCGTCGTCGTCCGCACCACAGGCCGTTCCACCAGGCGGGAAGGTCGACCAGTACACAATTGACACCAGCAACATCTTGTTCGTCTTCTGCGGTGCGTTTGTCGGTCTAGATAAAGCCGTGTTGCAGCGTGTAGCCAGGCCGTCAATGGGCTTCGGTGGCGAGTTGAGAGGTCGGTCGACACTTTCTGGAAGCAAGCACATCCTTCCTCCGAGTGTATACGCTCATATTGCTCATCATGACGCGATGCCAGAAGCTTCATTTACGCCGCTAGATCTTGCAACACCTGCAGATCTTCAAAGCTTCGGATTTATTCCAGAACTAATAGGCCGCCTACATAACATCTGTGCTCTTAGTCCCTTGTCCACCAGCGACCTGCTCCGTGTACTCACAGAGCCCCGGAACAGTCTTGTTGCGCAATACACGGCATTATTCGAGACATACCCGTCGCGACTGCACTTCACTGAGAAGGCACTGTACGCCATTGCAGAAAGGGCTGCAGCCATTGGAACTGGTGCCAGGGGTCTGAAGATGGAAATGGAACGGGTTCTTGCCGAGCCAATGTTTGATGCCCCTATGCCGTATGTTCTTATAACAGAGGACTGTGTTAAGGGATCAGATAAAGCAACATACTGGGGTAAGGACGGGAGGTTCGAAGTAGACAGGCGGTTGGAAGAAGAGAGTATGAGTCGTCGAGACACAATACCTCAAATGACCTTTGAGCGTATGAGGGAAGCCGGGCAAAGTGGAGGATAAGATGGGTTTGAAGCCAGGTGGGCAGTGTGTATATACCAGGTTTGCCTAATGATATGACGGAGCGCCGCTGGCATCCATGAGTTCTTGATCTTCTTCTCGCTTGGTGGGATATCACGAATGAGCACATTCATGGTCACCGATGAATGAAGCATTTTCATGGCGAACAATGGGAAAGTTTAATTTTTCGGAGTTCCGTCGTTGTAGTACAATATTTACAACCAATCAATCAGCTCACCTTCCGCCTTGCCGGCATAACCTCCCAACCACGCTCGCTCTAGAACCATTTTACATGCGGTGACAGTTCCCCCACAAGTTCACCTCCTACACTTCTATCACAAAAAAAAATTTGCATGGTATTGGTAGAGAGAGTTTAGTTGCCCTTGGGGGGAGACTGGACCATGCCCTTGCCACTGTAGCCCTCGGAGGTAATACCGGTAAGGGGATCGGCTTTTTGTTGCTGTTAAACCCCTTTGGTTAGCACCGGCTCTTTCGGGTTCCAAGCGCGTATGTGCCGAAAGATTCATTCAACTTACAACAAGGAGCTCATTTGAAGCCTCCTGATATTCCTTCGACATAGTATGGGGTTTGGGCTTGGCCACGGATCGAATGGCGGCGAAGATGGCAAAGCTGGTAGCAAGACCGACGGCGACGCCCCAAGCAACACGAGCATTGGTACCCGGGGGGTCAACAGCACGTGGGCCATGGGGGCCAAAAGCGATCCAGTATGCTAGTGAAATAATATGTGTTAGCTCTTGCTCAATCAATGAAGAGGCCGAGCAGCTCTAGAGAATGCGCGTGTATCCCGGCAATCCCCGTTTTGACGCATCGAGCAAGGAACTCATTCGGGCATGGCAAAGGGGAGAAAATAATCTCCATTGACAATCACAAAATCCAAAGCTTGTTGTCACGCGGCAGCGGAGTTGGGGAGTGAACGCTTGAGCTGTGGTGGTAGGTGGTGGTTCTTGATAGCTCGGCTATTCGGGAGATATTTCCGTAGAAAAAACGCTGAGCTATCGGGAGAAACATACCGGCCTTCTTCTCCTGCAGGGTCAACTCGTTCCAGTTACCCTTCATGCGATCACGCAGAGCCATCCACAGATCAGCCTGCTCCTGAAGAGGCATGCCCTCCCATCTTTTCTCGATGTTCTTGAGTGTAGGGTTGGAAATCGCGTGGGTGGAAGAGGCTCGGGAGGCAGCGGCTGGGACACTGCGCACCAGGCCCTTGCGCAGCAGGTTCGATGTCGGTGTGCGCAGCATTTTGTACGACTCAAGTTCGAAGTGGCGGGAGTTCAATTGGCGCGGTCGATTGCGCGGTGGATGGATTCCGAGATAGCGAGGTCAGGGAATTGTTGGGCCTCTTAGGATCCGAATCAATCGTATGATGGATTTCGTATTTGACTTCTGCGAAGAAAGCTCAGGTCCCGTGATGACTAAGTATCTGTGTCAGTCACGTGCCTTTCGGCCAATCATTGGTGACGGATTTGTGGTTGGTGAGTTCCATTTCCGGGTTGCTGGGATGCATGCACAGCAGCTTTGCTAGTCACAAGTCACCCGAGATTGCGTGGGAATCCTTCATGCTCGTCAAACTATCATATAAATTTCAAATTTTGATGTATATGAAACTAATTTTATCAAGAAATTAAGTGCGTCTCCAGTGTTAACTTGTTACGCAGATTTTTCGTTGTGTAAGGTAGATGGAGCTTTTACTTATATCGGTCACGGATTGTGTTTTGGACCGATAACCCTGATTGAACTTGCTGCCACAACGGGTTGGATTATGCAACCACAGGCCCAGGTTTGTTTTACATGGCCGTGCACGAGGGTGTCTGCGCTTATCCTGCGGCAACTTCTACGTACGTAGCAGTACTTCCTGGCAAGGCAACCATGCTGTAGGGTAGTCGGCGTCCGACTGGGAGACTCGGAGAAGACACTGATGGCAGCGGCACTGTGAATGGAAAGTATGGGTCGGGCATCTTACACTGTTTCTGAAGCACGACGAGGTTGCTCCAGGCCATCGAGGTACTAAAATATCAGCATCTGTAAGCAGTCAATCGCGGTGCAATGAACCATGACGGAGGTACAAGATGTGGATTCCTTGGGGAAAGGAAACATCGGCCCCGCATCGGCGATGCTGGAGCCGCAGATAATTGGATAGCCGGGCTCGCAATGGGGTTGTCGGCAACATGACCATGGAGTTTCCGCGGCGCTCCTCCGGGTATTCCGTGGGAACTGGCACAACTTCAAGCTCCCATCTCACTTACACCCGCCTCATTGCTCCTTTTTCTCTCGCCCTTGAGACCCCATTTGAGCACTAAATTGCCAAGAGAAAGTAATAGGCCAGTCCCAGAATCCCAAATGGGTCGTCAGCCGAGACAACGACCTATTTCATGCACTCTCTGCAGAGTGCGCAAGCTCCGTTGCAGTCGTGTGTTCCCATGCTCCAATTGCACATCCCGGGGCGTGGTCTGCCAGCACGAAGGCACACCGCACGATGCCACTGTTGCAAGTCAATCCAAAAGTGCTGCGCTGTCAAGGGATATATCAGCTTCTGAACTGTTGTCGCGCCTCGAGAGGCTTGAATCATTGGTAGCCTCACAGGCCAAGATCCAGGCCCAGTCTCAGACCTGGCCGCCCGGGACAGCAAGTTCCATATCCGCGGACACAAGAAAGGCTGGTTACCCTGAGTCCGGACCTCCGACAAGCCTGGCTGCTGTTCCGTCACGGCTTCAAAGGCTGACTGCCGATGCCCTCTGGTTGGAGAGGTCATGTTCCGGCCAGAAGTTACTGGTAAGCCTGTGCTCATTATCAATCAATCAATCAACCCAGACGTACCTCAGAGCAGCCGGCACATTGCCCTCGTCTATTCTGTGCAAATCGCCACTGACATTGTCATGTCCAGGATTCCGTGGTTGCTGATCCCATAACCTTCCGTACATGCCCCATAAGACTCATCACAAAGCCGTCTGGATTCATATTTGAACCCGACGCATCTCCCGGCGCATGTGGAGTCACACAACCGATCAGATGCATCTGGCTGCCGCGTCGCGAGGAAGCGCATATCTTGCTGCAGAAATACCTTAGTGACGTTAGCCATTTTCATCATATCATCCATGCTCCCTCCATGGGGGGCTCAATAGATGCCACTTATAATGGGCTGGAGCAAGGCGACAGGGTCGACATAGGCGCCATCTTGCTCCTGCTGAGCATTTGTACCACCACAACATATGCTTGGACCACGTTTGATGACTCAAGATGCCTCTTTGCCAATTATGTCGAAGCGAACTCACAGGCCACTTCATGGCTGAAGGCTTCTCTTGACGTTGCTGATCACGCACACCGCACTGCTCACCTCTCCGTTGAGTGTATCCAAGGCGTGATTATTATGTTTTATGTCCTGTGCAGCCTCGAAGGAGTGTCGTCACGAGCTCGATCTCTGGTGGCGAAATCCATTGACATGGGCCGTGGGTTAGCCCTGCACCGCATTGACTACTCTCCCAATGGCTCCTCCGGGGAGCTTGCGGGAACTGACACGGTGAAGACCGAGATTAGTCGTCGCGTCTGGTGGTACCTGACGGCAACGGATTGGTAAGTTACTCATACCCAAGCCGCCGTTGACCGGGAAAAGACCCCCAGGCCTGACAAAGGATCTTCAGGATGCTTGCCCAGTTTTCTGTACCGCAGGAAGGAACGTATACAATACACCCAAATCACATGGCTGTTAGGAAACCACGCAATGTGGATGACGAAGAGATTATCAGTGGTCGTGATGTCCCTGATCACGCGGCCGAGAAGCCAACTTGCGTCTCGTACTTCTTACAACGCATACGGCTGGCTGAAGTTTGCCACGGCCTTCTCGACAGGTCACCGTTTATTCTTCTCAGCCCAGAAACGTTGGACTATCGGCAAGTAATGGAAGTCGATGCGAAGTTCAAACAATTCATATCCGAAATGCCGTCCTTTTTTTCGCTGGGCAACACAAGTTTAAAAGATCTCCCACTCGATGACCCAAGATGCTCACCAAATATCAAAGTGCAGCGCTACACGCTGAATCTACTCCTGCACCGGCAGCTCTGCAAATTGCATCTACCATATCTCGCTCGAGGAGCGGTGGAGACACCATTTGCATACTCACAGGAGATGTGTATGAAATCGGCCAGGATTATCATTCAGGTAGAACATCAGTTGAGGAAGGAAAACCTGGTGTACGTGTCGTTCCGGCAGAGGATGAACATGGTGCTTCGAAGCGTCTTCATTGCCACGATTGCCCTGGTCCTCAGTGCTTGTTTAGGAGGCGATGGAGACAATGGTACGGCCAGCGGAGAAGAAGTCGCGGATGCCTGGAGGATACTAGAGGAGGCAAGACACCAATCGCCAGTGGCATCGAAACTTCTCGAGCTGTCGGTACAAGTGCTGAAGAAGCACCGAGGAAATCACCCGGCACTAGAGGCGGTGAAGAATCACGCTGCCGGAAAAGGCCGGCCACCAGGCGGGTCTCTTCCAATGACTCCCGATTCGGCTCATCGAGATGATGGGATGAATGGCATGTTACCATCACAGACGACTCCCGAATCCGAAACCGCGTACCTCGAACAGCAGTGGCAGGCTCTGCAAGGGACGATGGACCTGGACGCTATTGACTGGAACAGGCTTTTCTGGGGTCTGGATGCGCCTTTCATATAGTCGGCATGCCTGTTGCATCTAGGCGGATGTAGTGGTTTGGATTTCATGAGTACCCGATGTCCTGAGCGCGCAACGTTACAAAGATATCAGTTGGTACGATAGGAATGAATGATGGGAAAAAGATTTACGAAGTAAATAATAATTACATGGCGGGAGAAGATTGCGGGCCCGACCTGCTGGCTATTGCGAAAACGTCGCAACAGATATATCTGGTTTACCCATTACTTCATATCCCTTGATATTGTTTTAGCGTCTGACTGTAAGCCTGTTTCCTTTGTAATACTCGTTTTTGCGTTTGGTCCCGTGCTGCTACTACGAAT